GAAAAAAAGAACCACAGAAGATTAACAGGACCTTTATGAAATAAAATCCCTTATTTGAAAAAGACTATTAAAAGCAACGTATAATGCAAGTATAAAGAGAGTTCTTTGGAAGAATTGTGATGTAGTTAATCTACAGGGGCTGAGAGCTCAAAACAGCAGGCTACCTTTGATCTTGGTTGGATAAAATTAAATTCGATAAACACAGAGCAAGAGGCCCAAAGAAGAAAGGAAGATGTGAGGGGGCAATTAATCTCTGTGCTCTGAGAAGCAGTCAAAAGCAGGAAACATAATTTCATAGGTAAGTACATTTTTATTTAAAAATTATTGGCTATCTAATTGAAATAATAACTACTATTGCAATAAAATCATTATTTATACCAATCTGTCTAGCATTAGTTATGAAAAAACTCAATTATTTAAATGATCAAAATGCCCACAGTATTTATGGTATTTAGCAATTCTACAATGATAGAGCTATATCATTATACTTCATATTTCAAATTAACCAGATATTGACCCTATCATCACAAAGTTTACAGTTTGAATAATTTGAAATTAGTATGGATATGCGTAAGAAAAACAGAAAGCATTATAATGTACCACGGAAGACACGATTCAGTGTAAATAATAACTATATACAATCGTATTTCAGACTGCACAATCAGCATTTACTAACTTAATTCAAAAGGAGTTATTGCAGGAAGGAAGAATAAGGAACAGCCTTATAGGCTGCACATACAAAACATTGCAACATCACTCACGTAGTGACTTAGGCAATCCTCTGAACCCAGCAAACTCCCAGAAGACCTCACTTCCTACTCTAATGCTATCACCAAACAGTGTTCCAGATGCTCTCCATCTTCCTTTGCTTCTCGATCCTTCTATTGTACCTACACTGTCATCTTCCTAAGGGCTTCTTTTTCATCTGTCTTTCGTGATTGTATTTTGGCTTTTGTCTTACTTTTTCTGTATCATTCATTTCTCACTTTACAAGAGTAAGAGAATTGAAGTGCTTGGCAGTTACATGCAATACAGAGACCCTCTTTTTGAGCAGAGAGCTCATAATGGTCCATTATAAGAGCATTTTCTGTCCACCTTTCTGTCCAATCCATTGTGGCCAGGGAGTAGATTTGACGGGGGAAACGTAGGGAACATGAGGATGCAAGGTAATCAGGCCCAGTATCCGCAGGGTTGGGTTGGGTTCTTGTCTGCAGCTCACGAAGAATTAGAGACGCAGAGATAAGTAAGCAAGCAGAGTCTATTAAGAGAGAGAAGGTAGAGCAGAGCTCCCAAGCAAAGAGCAGGTCCAGAGTGGGTTGCCAACAAGAAATTGGAGTGAGGGTTTTTATCTGGCCAGAGAGGCTTTGTCTGTGTTTGTTCCCAGGCGACACCTGTGTTCCCCTCATAGTGGGGGGTCACATACTGGATGAGTCCAGTTATTCTTCTTAATTTGGGGGTTGATACAAAGGTTAGGTTCTTTGCCTAAAAGCTTTGGGCCACAAAAGACCATTACCTTCGTTCTGGAGTGTAGTGGGATTGGGAAAAAAGTCTTGCATTTTGGGTAGGCGTATGATTATCTTTTGGCCCCAAGTATGGTTTTCTTAGAATGTACCTTTTATTTTTCTGCTATACTTTTCCATGCATTTAAACTAATTGCCCTGTAATTTCCATTAGGTCTGAGCACTTAAAATTCCAAACTGAGGAGCTGTCCTGTCTTGTATCCTTGTCTCAATTATTTCATTTGTATGTATCATAAGTACACTATAGAAATGGACCAGAGGGACAGAGAGCAGGAAGGAAAGTTATTTTTCCATCAGGGTATAGTGGGCTGACTGGTTTTGGGTAGACTGCCAGGTTTCAGGGTCTCCCTGAGTCTCAATTAGTACTCTGTCTTGACTTCCCTATTTTCCCTAATTGCCTCGCCTGAATAGCCTCTATCTCAGATTCACATGGCACAAAGGTGAAAGGAAATACCTGTAGATTTCTCCCCCAACATAAGGTCATAAATGTGAAAGAACTCAGAAAGCTTTATCTTGTTCATCTATAACAAATATGCTATGGAATTTTGGAAATTGTAACAACATAACATTTTAGAATCTCTAGAATGATAATCCCTCGGATAAGGACCCTAAACACTTAATATTCACTTTCTAACCAGACGGAAGCATGATGCATTACAAAGTGGGTTGGGAGGAGGACCTTACTGATTCACTTTTCAATTTGGGGCCACTTAGTGGATGCCGAGTACAGTTCTTTTTTTTTCTTTCTTTCTTTTTTTCTTTTTTGGAGATGTTTTTGCTATAGGACACGTGCCCTCACCAGAAAGACAGAGAGACAGAGAGACAGAAAGCGAGAAATCACCCCCAAGGGGGGATGGTCACGCCGCAATCCCTTCTCTTCTATTCTCCTCTTGGGATCCTGGGCACGCACGCACACGTGCCCCGCGTGAGTTTAAAGCCCCAGGTCCGGGACGCGAACCGCGGTCGACTATGTGGGAGTCCAGTGACATAGCCATTACACTAACTGCTGGTCCCCCGAGTACATTTCTTCATGGTGAGAATACAGTGATGTACTAGGCACACATTTTTCTGGTCCACAGAAAGTCTGTATGTAATCTAATGGAAGAGAAGATACTGCAGAATCTCAAAGGCAACTAATTTCACAGGTAATATGTGTCGCTTTCACATGTTGCTCCCATCAAATATATCTAACCATTTGCATCCGTCTGTTATTTTAGAGGTTTTCGCATTAGGGCAAGTGTGCTCACCAGAAAGACAGAAAGACAGAGGCAGTAAGAAGGAAAGTGAAAAATCACCCTCCAGGGAAGATGGCCACAAGGCCATCCCTTCTCCATTCTTTTCCCAGGAACCTAGGCACGCAAACACACACACCCAGAATGGGTGTCAAGCCACCAGGTCTGGGACTTGAACTGTGGTTGGCCATGTGGGAGTTCAGTGACATAACCACTATGCCATCTGCTGGCCCTTGCATCTGTATCTTTACACCCTGTCTTCCCTTCTGTTACTATGGATCAATGATCAATACTTCTAGCAAGACCAAGTCTTTTCCTTGGGTCCAGGATCCCATCTTTAACTCCAAGGTTATTGATATTGAAAGTTTCCTTTTACTCTTCCAACTCAACAATTTCTCCCTTTCTGTTTGATAATTCTCACTGGTATTGGAAGATGCTATTATTTTTTCCCATCTTAAAAAGCAAATGTCTGGGCCAGCAGGTAGTATAGTGGTTACAATGCTGGACTACACATGGCCAACTGGAATTCAAGTCTCAGACTTGACGACTTGAAAATCACGTATGCCGAGGGTCCAGCAGTTGGCGTAATGGCTATGTTGCTGGACTCCCATGTGGTGGACTGTGGTTTGAGTCCTGGACCTGGTGGCTTAAACTCATTCCAGGCACATGTGTGTGTGTGCACAAGATCCCAGGAAGAGAATGGAGGAGAAGGGATTGCGGTGTGGTCATTCCCCCTGGGGATTGATTTCTCACTTTCTGTCTCTCTGTCTCTCTCTCTCTCTTTCTGGCGAACACAGTGCCTTATAGCAAAAACCTCTCTAAAGAGAAAAAAAAAAGAGAGAAAAAATCATGTATGCCCAAAATCCCAGGAGGAAAATGGAGGAGAAGGGGTTGTGGTGTGGCTATCCCCCCAGGGGGTGATTTCTCACTTTCCCTCTCATTGTCTCTCTCTGGGGAGTGTGCACATGCCCTGTGGCAGAACTTGAAACAAAAAAAAAAAAGAGAGAATCAAAAGCAAATGTCTTGATTTCACATTTGTGTCCATCTCTATCTCAATTTCTTTTCCTTTTTTTTTTTTTTAAACAAGAGGTTTATTTACACAACAAAATGCTTGACTTGAAGGAAAAATATCTATAATTCCTTTTTTTCCCCATTAAAAGTAATTTACCTCAGGACTAGCAGTTGGCATTATGACTATGTCACTGGACTCCCATGTAGTTGACTGTGGTTCGAGTCCTGGACCTGGTGGCTTAAACTCACACCAGGCACGTGTGTGTGCGTGCCCAAGATCCCGAGAGGAGAATGGAGAAGGGATTGTGGCATGGCCATTCCCCCTGGGGGCTGATTTCTCGCTTTCTGTCTCCCTGTCTTTCTTTGTCTTTCTGGTGAGCACATGTTCCCTATAGCAAAAAAGAACTCTCTCAAAAAAAAAAAAAAAAAAAAAAAAAAAGTCATTTCCCCCTACTTACAGACAGATTGCCCTACATGTAACAACTACATATGAAAAAGTTATAAAATTGTCTTTTATTGTTTTACAATGATAAATGAAAAACATTAAAAATCTCCAATCAAACAAGTTTTGCGAAGATTTTTATGTTGCTGGATTTTTCTTCCTTTCTTTGTTTTTGTTTAAATAGTGAGAGCAAAATAACTTACTAGAATATAAAGATAAGAGCTAAATGAGCATACCACTAATAGAAAAAGGGGATATTTTTCACCAGTATTTTTCCCCATCCCCTCTCCATTTGATGTCAATCAAAACATACCATTGGCAGGAACCAGCAGTTAGCATAATGGCTATGTCGCTGGACTCCCACGTAGTCGACCGCGGTTCGTGTCCCAGACCCGGTGACTTAAAACTCACGTTGGGCGCATGTGCATGCATGCCCAAGATCCTGAGAGGAGAAGGGATTGCGGTGTGACCATCCCCCCTTAGGGGTGATTTCTCACTTTCTGTCTCTATGTCTCTCTCTGTCTGGTGAGCGCACACACCCTATAGCAAAAATCTCTCCAAAAAAAAAAAAAACCATACCATTGGCCATTCAGTTAAAAACAGTACAATGTGCTTGTACACATACACCAGTTAGCAGTTACTTTATGTACAATTAAGTAATGAGGAAGGGAAAAATAGAAGAAAACTATACTGTAGTAGTCAGGATGTGGTAAAACCAAATTATGGTTTTCTAATTGAGAATGTATTCTCAGTCTGTAAGAACAGAGTTATGTAGTAAAGGAGCAGGCTCCGTTTTTAGTAGACACCTCCTGTCTGCTCTTGGAACACATCAATTGTATCTTCATCCTCCATTTCCAACTGTGTAGGTGTGTCTGTTTCATGTATCGGCTGTCCATCAAATCAGAATCTGATCTGCCTCATTGACAAACCCTGTCATTAACAATAGGCTTTCTTAGTTTACTAAGTGGTGTATGCCACTTAATCTTAAACTGCACCATAGAACCATCCTGCCTCGCCACCTTCAAATTCATATGAACGTTGTTCTCAGTCTTGACTCCTTTCTTGGGCTTTTCGTAGGCCATGCAGAGTGCTGGAGTGTCCTCAGCTGTGGCTTTGCGAAAGAGGTACCAGGTCCTCTCTGAACGAGCATGCAGGCAGCAGCAGGAGTGGCAAAAGAAGGAGGCAGCAGCAGGGGAGCCAGCTCAACTTCTATACCTCCCATCCACAGCAAAACACTTTCCAAGGATTGTGTATATTTTCTATCTTTCATTTCTCTTTTTCTACTTTTTTTCTTGCTGCTCAGTGAGCTATTTTCTCTACTTCACTGAAACTGTGCTTTGAGTCCCTAAACCTTCGACTTGCCAGAGTATAGTGTTAATTCCAGTTTTTATCTTATTTGCCTTATAAGCAATGCTTCCCATAATTTTGACTACTTTTTCTCTAAAAAATATTCTTCACTTTGCCTCTGACATACAAACTTCTCTAGATTATCTACCCACTGGACTAAGCAGTCCTTTTCTGTCTCATTTGCTGATTCTCTTCACTCATCCTGCACCTATCACGCAGGATAGATGTGCTTATAGCCCCTAGTTTGTGGACCTCTTCTTTATCTTTACACATTGTTTCATTGATCTCTGATGTACACAGAGATGAAAGAAAATCTGGTTCCTCTGTGGAGGAATTTCACAGTTGAGTGGCATAAGAAGGAGAAGAAAATGAAGAATATCTCAGGCATTAGTAACCCAACTAAAACCTAGTCTATATCTTTGCCTATTATTTTAGTCTGTTTTTTTGTTGCCATAACTGAACATCACAGTAATTTATTAAGAATAAAGTCTTGTTCACCTTACAGTTCTGAAGATCCAAGGTCAAGGGACCATATCTGGAGAGGCCCTTCTTGCTGGTGTGGGTTTTCCACAGTGTTCCCAAGTCACACAGGGAATCTCATGGTGAGAGAGCAAGAGTACATGTCAGGTCTGCTCTCCTTCCCTCTGAGTTACAAGTCCTGATGCTGAATGCGCCATCTAATTGTAATTAGCTCCCAAAGGCCCCACCTTTTAATATCGTAGTCAGATTAAGCTTCTAAGTTTATCCATCTGTCTCCCATGAGCAAGAGAGACAGAAAGTGAGAGTACCCAAACATTGTTTTGACACCTGAACCACTCCCAGTCCTGCCAGCCACAGACCATACACATACACAAGCCTGGTGTACTCAAGGACGTCGCCAGATGCAAACATGGAATCTTCCAATATGGGTCAGCCACATAAATGTCTCATAACAGAAATTTTTTATTTCAATTCCAGACCAATATGGTACGACAGGGTGATGGAGGGGGGAAGCTCAAAACTTATGCTCTGCCATCCTTAGTGCATGGCTCCCATTCTGTGTTCAAACCACAGTCACCTGTTTTCTAATCAACAGAAATGAGAAAGTGCCCAAAGAAAAGTGTGTCCTCCCCCACCCACACACATCTCCAAGAATATTTCCAACAAATTATGTATACCTCTTCTATTAAACACATTTGCTAATATTTTTCATTAACTATACACAATAGCTTCAGGGAAACCTGGAAAGTTACTCTGGGCAACCTTGAGTCCAATTAAAACCTGAGAGTTCTCTTACCAAGAGAAAGGGTAAAATAGATATATGAGAATAATTAATTTACACTCTGACTATGCCATTGGGTATCCAAAATGTGCATTAAACTTTTTCTTTAAAAAATTTTTCAGAGGTTAATCTGATGAGTGAATTAGTCTATTTATCTACCTACCTACCTATCTATCTACTGGATTGTCAAAAGCCATGAGGCATTTTTACATAGAGAAACATAGAAAAATATGTCACTACTTTCCTAACAGTCTAATATTTATTTATCTCTCACCTATCTATCAAATCGATCAATCTACTTACCTTTAACCATAAGTTAGCTAACTATTTACTTTTAAAAACTGTTTCTTGATTTCTCTGAGCCAAACTACTTCTAATATTTTTTATTATTATTATCAACAGCTGGGGAAGTTGCTGAGCATGAAGGTAAGGGTTGTATAAATATTAGAACTGTACAAAGGGTACTGTAGTTGATTGACACTTGGTATTAATCAACAAAGCTTTGAAACTGTATGATGAAAGCCAGAGTCTCTTTGCTGATTTGTGATGTGCTTGGTGCTAGTCATATAAAGGATTTTAATAAAGTCAGAGCCATGTATGTGAATTGATGGAGAAATATAAGAATATCTCATCAGTTCCAGAATAGTTCCTTGATGAGACTCATGTTTATAATATTTCTTATTTTGAGCTGTGTAAAGAATTGATTGATCTCCATTATTATTTGTAAATTTCATATCTCTTTTTATTTGCAACAAAATGTGAATAATTGAAGGTAGGATCAAGGCTTCAAAATATGACTATATTTCTTGAAATTAGCAACCAAGAGTTGAAAACCTCTTTTCCCCACCATTTCTCTGCTTATATTTAATTCATTTAAATAAATAATAAAGAGAATCCTAGATTAAAATGGCTAACTAGAAGTACCTAGAGTTCATCTCCTCCACAAAAAGGGAACAAAATGGCCATTAAATAAATATACTTGGAGTGGAATATCTAAGTAGGAACAACAGACTCTACCACAAAAATGTCTGAAGCTTTCTGAGACATGGAGATTTGAGATGACAACATAGAGACAAGAGAAATTCCTGGACAATCTTAACCAGAGACATCTCATTACTGAGAAAGGGCAAGAGATGCCTTGAGGTCCCCATTATCAACACCCTTGAATGCAATCCTAGTTGCCTGGGTTCCTGTGGCCTTCACGGGACCCAACCTGTTATAGGGAATTCCAAGTGACTATATAACTCAAGGGGAGGAATTCATATAGGATAACCACTCTCTTCTCCATGACCTAACCTTTCACAGAACTATACCATTTTGAGAATAGGACTACTTCTAGAGGACTGTCCTGAGAAGAAATAGGTCCCATATCTCCACCTCCCTGAGACCCCACTGACTTCCCGCCACATTCATACAGGTGGCTGCAGCTGTCACATGAGCAGAACACCTGAGCCGGAATAGCACTGTTGACTCTGGGACATAGATGGACCAGCATGCAGGAAAAAGCTACTTCTAGAAACAGGTGAACTGATATGAGCACTCACCAGAGAATCCCAGTTCATGCTTCCTGCTCTTGCTGACCTGAGCACCTGCTCAGAAGCAAAACCAAAGCACTCTATCCAATGACATTATAGGACACATTTTCAGCAAAATGTCTTTTCCTCAGAAAGCTACTTTATAAAACATGAAGAGATTACTATCCAACCAGATACAAAATATCAGCGTAAGAATTTTGAAAATATGAAAAAGCAAGGAAGCTTGACACTCCCGAAGGAACATAGTAAGTATCCAGCTACATATGCCAAGGGAAAGGAAGCCTTTGAAATATCTCAAAAGGAATACAAAATAATGATGCTAAAGAAATTTAGTGAGATACAAGAAAACATGGATAAACAATTCAATAGGATTAAAGGAAAAGCTATGACATGAAAGAGAAATTCTTCAAACAAATAGAAATCATTAAAATAACCAAATAGAAATACTCAAATTGAATAACTTAATAAATAAATACATAATACAATAGAGAACTTCAACAGTATAATAGATCAAGCAGAAGTAAGAATTCTTTACCTGAGATCAGTGTTTTCAGATTATTCAGTTAGAGGGGGCAAAAATAAATGAATAAATAAAATTTAAAAAAAAGAAAGAAAAAACAATGAAAGAGGAAGACCACCTATAGAAATAAAGAGATACCATCAAATGACAAACTTTCTCACTATGGAGTTCCAGAAAAAGAAAGAAAGATAGGAACATAGAAACTATTTACTGGAATAATTGCTGAAAACTTCCCAAACATTGGAAGAGATGGACAATTCAGATACAAGAAATTCAAAGATCTCCAAACTGATTCAACCCAAAGAAGTCCTCACCTAGGCATATTATAATTGAACTGTCAAAAGTCAAAGACAAAAGAGAATTTTTAGAGCAGCAAAAGAAAGGCAATAGGTCACATAGAAGGGAATTTCTGTAAGACTAACAGGATATTTTTTGGTAGAAACTATGCAAGCCAGTAAAGAATGGGTCAATACATTCAAACTTCTGAAAAAAAGAAAAGTATTAACCAAAAATACTATAGTAAGCACACCTGTGCTTTAGAATTGAAGGGGAAATAAGGTTTTTCTCTGATCAGAAAAAATAAAGTAAAATAAAATAAGAACCAGGAAAGTAAACACTACAAACTAAGCCTTACCATAAATGCTTAAAATCCTATATCTGGAAGCAAAAGGTCAATATATACTATAATAAAAACACATCAAAATTCAAAACTCATGGGTTCAAGCAAATACACAAGTGAGGAAGTGAAAGGAATCAAACATTATTATTACCGAAAAAAAGTCAATTAAAATATGACCAAACCAGAAAGAAAACCATTAAAAGGAGAAAAAAAGAACAAGAAAAAAAAAAAGAATTTGGGCATACATGCACACAAGCCCAATGTGTTTTTTAAGCCATCAGTTTCAAGATTCAAACCACATAGTTAGCCATGTGGGATCCAGCTGTCTTAACCACTGTGCAACCTATCTGGCCCCAAAATAACATTTATAAAAAGAATGAGCATCACTCAAAGATAGACACAGTGATAGTCGAGTTTTTATTGGAAATAGTGTAAGTTACATGAAAGAGTTGTACTATGTTATTGGAGAAAATTTATTTATATTTTTGTTATTGTTATTGGTGGGAATTTTACTTATAAAAGCATATGTATGTGTACCATGCAAACAAGAGGGTGACAGTATTATGATAAAGTAAGGGTCCATCCATTCACATTTATCATGTTTCTCTATATTACAGGGGCTAATAGGTTTAAGAACTTTTATCCCTAACATGTGAAATTTTGGATGTGCCTTTTTGCCGATAAGATTTCCTCACACAAAACTGGAAAAGTGGGAATGAGATGGAGATGATCTTACTATGGCTGCAACAGATAACAATTTTATAACAACTCCAATCGGTGACTGGATGTGCAGCAGTTAC